AACAGTGTCCTTATGATCTAAAATGCTAATTTCTTATGAAGTATTGGGTGGTCTTTTATTCCTATGAAATTTTGACTGCATAGCTCATTCAGATCAGCTTTATCATAAATAATTTTGGTTTTAGAAGTAGTGGTGTTTTAATTTTTTTTTGTTTTGTTTTTATTAATTACAGTTTATTCACTTTGTATCCCCCCTGTTCCTCCCTCCCTCCTCCCCTCCGAATCCCACCCTCCCTCTTCCCCACCTGTGTCCTTCTCCCAGTCCACTGAAAAGGGAGGTCCTCCTCCCCTTCCCTCTGATCATAGTCTATCAGGTCTCATCAGGAGTGGCTGCATTGTCTTCTTTTGTGGCCTGGTAAGGCTGCTCCCCCCTCAGGGGGAGGTGATTAAAGAGCAGGCCAATCAGTTCATGTCAGAGATAGTTCCTGTCCCCATTACGATGGAGGCCACTTGGATACTGAACTGCCATAGGCTACCTCTGTGCAGGGGTTCCAGGCCATCTCCATGAGTGGTCCTTGGCTGGAGTATCAGTTTCAGAAAAGACCTCTGTGCCCAGACTCTTAGGGTCTGTCGCTGTCCTTGTAGAGCTCCTGTCCTCTCCAGGTCTTACTATCTCCCACTTCTTTCATAAGATTCCCTGTACTCTGCCCAAAGTTTGGCTATGAATCTCAACATCTGCCTCAATATTTTTAAGATAGAAAGAAGTATATATCATGTTAGGGCTTTGAATTATATTTTGTGATTATATAATTCGTTACTGTAATATATCATGTTATAGTCTGGGTTTTTGTTATTTTTGCAATTTTTCATGTAAAATATCTCACAAGATTTTATCAAGACTGTCATTCACCTTTCATGCCCACTTCTGTGGGCAACAAGAACATACATGGTGCACACACATATGTTCACGTACATAGCATTCGAACACATTAGCAGCAACGGATTCAAATGTTTGACCAGAAGAGAAGGTCCAAATCTCATTTTCTCTGTACATTGAGGAAATTTCCCAAGAAAACTTTTCTTCATTTTCAGTAAACACTCTTAATCCTCAAGATCTGACCATATAATTTTCAAATGAAGGTAAAAAAATTCTTGGCTTAAATCATCAACACAGTGGAGAGAAAATTCCTGTTTCTCCTCATCCCCCCCCCCCCCATTAATGAGCTGTAGGCAGTTAGTATTTGCTGAAGAAGAGAGAATCAATTTTCTTCAGGGACAAGTCTCTTAATTTCCAATCCTATATGACCAACACTAATTGTACTCAATAGACAGACATTCTTTCTCTCTCTCTTTGTGTGTGTAGTATGTATTAATAATTACAGAAGAAGAGGGCATGAATTTAAGAGGAAGATGGGCAGCATGGGAGAAATTGGAGAAGAGAAAGAGGGGGAGAAAAATGTATAAATAAGTATACTCATATATCCAATTGTTTTAAAATAACCTCAAAAATAAATGGGCTAAATGAATCAGAATTTCCATTTATCACTTTGAGTTTTCATAATATTCATTAAGTGTGTATTTTTTATTATTATTCTGTGACCTTACAGCAGATGAAAGATAGCTCCATTAGCCTAACTGTGTGGTCCTTTTAAAAATACATTTTAAAAAAATCTGTGCACTGTGGCACACACCTTTAATCCCAGCACTTAGGAAGTTGAGGCAGGATGATCTCTGTGAGTCAAGGCCAGCCTGGTCTATATAGTGAGTTCCAGGACAATCAGAGCTGGACAGTGAGACTGTCTCAAAAAACAATACACAATAAGGCCTGGAGAGATGGCTGGAGTTTAGTTCCCAGCCCTCACTTGATAATTTACAAGCATCTATAACTCTAGTTCTATAGGGTCTAATTTCCTGACTTCTGTGGGCAACAAGAACACACATGATGCACAGACTTATATATGTACATACATAGCAATCAAACATATAAATTTTTTATAAAATCTTTTCAAAAAGACACGTAAAAGGCTAGTCTAGGCTTGTCTAAAACTGATGTCCTAGGATTTTTAAATTTCTCTATATATGTAATATGAGACACAGCTTCAGATAAACATATTTACCAAAAAATAATGAATTCAAATATAAATATTAATTTAAAACACTAAACACTTTAAGTACATTTTCATAGAGACTATACTATCTCGTAGTTAAATCATCCTGTTGGCAATCCAGAGTTCTCATTTTAGCATAGAAGTCGGGGGGAGGAAAGGTGCTGTCAAACCTTGTTAACTGTAATAAACACAAAAGAAGGAAAGTGTTTCTTTGTGATGGATACAGACTTACCCAGAAAATCCTAAAATGTCTACAGAAAACTCTAGAAATACTGATTTAGTCTAGCTGCATTGCAGAAGACAAGACCAGTATTTGTGGTTCAGTTATACTTCAACATTCTAAAATTTAAAAAATAATACCACATTTACTTCAAAAAGCACAAACTACTAGGAGCTAAAACAAAATCGCTTAAGGCCTGTGAGCCTAAAAAGTAACGATTAAGTAAATACAGATATGTATTGTGTTCATGGATCAAATGAGCTCATACTGTCTAGATGCCTTTTCAAAGCAATTACAGATCAAACCCCAGTGGGCTTAGTCTTTCTTGGAAAAGCTGGCAGGCTGATTAGAAAGTTTACATGCAAATGTAGAGGAAAGATATTCAGAGGTCAAGAACTCATCACCCAGTTTCAAGAGTTCCTATATGACAGTGATGGAGGTGTTGGTTGGTAGAATTGTAAACACATCATGGAACAGACTGCAAAGTCCAGAGATCACCCACAAATGGAGAATCAACTGATTTCCTATAGTGTGGTCAAGTAATTGACAACAGTCTTTCTAACAAATGGTGTTGAACACACTGGCTGTTTACACAGAAAGAAACCACCCATATGACACATTATGCCTACAAATAAGTTTTGACTCTAAGAAGAAATTTAAAATTCAAGAAGAAAATAGGAAAAAGATTTAATTTTAAAGTGGCAAAATATCTTAGGAATTAGAATTCACTGAAAGACATAATTTACTTTTTGTGTGATTCAAGGTTTATTCAATAAAATATCAGTGTGCCATCAGCAGTTCTGTGTTTATTATTGTGTTGACAAATAGTGGCTGGGACAATTTGACAACTTCATCACAATTCATTTCCTCCATATGGCATCTGTTGAAGCAGAAACTGATGATTGTTTTAAAAACATAATAGACATATTTGAAAAGATGAAATGGGAAAGCATAAACTGGGAGAGAATAATAGATTAACTCATAAGTATGTATGTATACATTTTATGTGTATACATTTCTGTAAGACATATAGACAAGAATATGTACCAAAACATATTGAGTCATTTGACCTTATCATAAAAATAAACAACTCACTTTTTAGACAAGGACAAAAATTTTGTAACAGTATTTTATGAAAGAAGAGATAGGAATGGGAAGATGTGAGTGAAGAGGTCATTGTCATGAGAGCATCCACACCAACAGAGCCCTGCCAGAAGGCACGTTGCTTCAGAAGGTGGCTGTACCAGGGTTGGGGAGGGTGTGCAGCATGTGTGCTTCTTGGGCATGTGAGGAGGCTATGAAATGGTACCTACCTCTTCAGAAGACAACTTGGCAACTTTTTGAAAAGTTAAACGTCCATTTACCATCTGACTCAACTCCATTGTTAATTATTTGTTAATGAAGAATGAAAACATCTATAAAGACTCATACAAATATTTATAGTAACTTGATGCATATTGTCCAAAGTCCAAACTTTAGAATTATTAATAGAAGGGCACATCTGCCAAGAGTATATCCTGTACAGTAAAAAATTCACTGTCTATACATTGCAGTGCCGCTTAATTGAAACTCCAGAAGAGTAATGTAGAAACAGATAAAGCAGTTTTCTGGAAAGCAGTATGAGGAAATGCTTTGGATTGTTTGAAGTTCCCTGTATTTTGTATTGATCTTGTGATTACAGGCCTATGTGCCTGTCTTTTTTACTGAACCAAACATTTTAAATAGATGTATCTTGCTCTATATGAATTCTGTTTTACAACGAAATTCTGTAGGGTGCTATTTACACTTGACTCCCAAAGGTAAGTGCGATAATGAACATCGAGCTTAATTAAGCCAAGTCTTCTTTGAAACAATGTGAAAATATTTGGCAAATGCAGTTAACTAAGAAAAAAATCAATCTTCATTGTCCTTATGCATAAAATGGTCATCTATGTGATTTAAGATTGACTAAATCAACATCCTGTAATCAAAAGATGTTTATCAATTAAGTATAGAAAAGTCTAAATTTGACATTTAAAATAATGATGCTAAGTAATAATTATAAACCATATACTATAGATATATCAGTTGTATTTTTAGAAAAATAGAATAATATAGTAATGTGAAAGAAATGTTGAATAGACCACATTATACTGACAAGGGCAGATCATAAGTGGCTTACAGAAAGTTAATGATTTTTCAGTTTCTTTTAACTTAGTGTCTCATAAGAATTAATATCCTCAGATGTTTTCCATTGTTTCTTGAACCGCACTCTTCCTAATGTATGTGTGTTTGTGTGTCTATGTGTGCGTGCACCTTAGTAACTTAGCAAAAGTCAGTGTCACTCCATTATTCACCCAATGTAGGGTCTACTGTAAAATGATTTTCAATCAGATTTTGCAATATTATGGGACATTATTAGAGATGTTTTGGTCATTGGGTACAGGAAACAATGTTCTGGCTTCCATTTCTTAAGTCATCAAAATTGTAAAATACAACAGGGTAGATTACATCTGTTATGACTTTCCTGAGAGTGTTACTTCTTCATGGATGGTTCTTTATTGTCACCATTTAGCTGTAGCTGTGAAGTCACTTCTCTGGCTAAACAAACCCATCGTCTCTTAGTTATACCAAGCACATGAGTCAAAGTATTTTTTTAGTCTAAGCAGACTCTACCGCAAGCTTGTGTGTGGCCACTTTCTTAGCTGAGGAATTGTGACTATACTATATGAGCCATTGTTAACCTTTCCACAGGTTTGTTATTGGGCGAGAAAAACCAGGACAAGTGAGCGAGGTTGCCCAGTTGATAAGCCAGACCCTGGAACAAGAGAGGCGCCAGAGGGAGCTGCTGGAGCGCCACTATGCCCAGTATGATGCTGATGACGATGAGGTAGGGGCCACAGCTGTCCTCATTCTCCCTAACGTCTCACTCGTTGCTACTGTATCACAGGCTCTTTGCAGTTTCCTGAGGAAGGTGTCGTCTATACTGAACTGAAATTCGACCTCCTGGAAAAGAATTGCCACTTGTACCTGATATTCTCTTCATGAATCCATTCAATTCACCGAGTCTATGAATACTGTGGAAGCAAATTAGTCTTAAACTTTTAACACACTGTTGAAAAGAAACTCACAGAAACAAGCATTCAAAGAACCCATATAAATAATGGCTCTATTGTTGAAATTAGTAGATTTTTCTTTCTGCTTTATGTTTTTAATTATTTCCAAATGTTCCTAAATAGTATGTCATACTTTTTTTTTTTTTTTTGAAAAGTCAGTAAAACATTTAAGCGAAAACATTCACGTAGACACAAACATAGACAGAAAAGCAGCGAAGATGGCTGAGGTTTTCCAGAGGTTCCCCCTCCTCCTGGGAAGAGAAAGGCTTTGGGATGTGCTCACAGTGATCTGCACTAACATAGTGCAGAGCAAAGCATTTCCACTAGTGCATGTCCCATGGCACAGGTACATGTTGGAATGATCTTACATCCTGAGCTCTGCAGAAGATCAAGTAAACGAGTCGGCACTAACCTCAAGTGAACGCGGCTCTCCGGAACCCTTGTGTGCTGTAATGAGACACAGATGCTGGGCTATTTCTAATGTCGGTGCCAAGTGCACACTGATACGCTGGGATAACACACTTTATTGCAAACACATTCAAAACGTGCATACGTTTCATATTGGCATGTCAAAAGATTCATCAACAATTTAGTTATACTCTTTCATACTTCATAAATTTGTAAATGCCCAGATAAAATAAATATTCTTTATGTCAGCTGATATAAGCACAGTAAGATTTCATACCTTCAACTTCTGCTCATCTGAATGTATTATATATCCAGACTCTGGTTTGCTTTCATCTCGGACACAGAAAGAGATTAATGAGTGGGCATTCAGGTCCTTTCCATGTTTATTTAATTTAACATATTTTAACCCAAATATATATTGAGTTTTTATGTGTTTGTGGTATAATGACTGAGGACTCATTCTCCATTTGTTCTAGTAGAAAATTACAGGTGGCATATCAATTAACATTTGTTTTCTTCTGTTTTTGTTTGTTTCTTGAGACAGGTTCTCTCTGTGTGCAAGCTGGCCCAGGTTGTCTTTGAACTCATAGCAACTCCTTTCCTTCAGCCTCCCTGCTTCTGGGATTGCAAGTGTGAGCCACCATACTTGGCATCAATTAATTTTGGCATCAAATAATATATTAGAAAGATTGTCCATGAATAAAAGTCTCTTGGAATTGTTTTCATGGTGCACTTGTGGAGTACATTTGGCAAGAACTTTCTTATTGTACTGGAATACCACGTGTAAAAACTGTTTAGTCTGAAACTAAGCAGAAGATCTCCTCAGATATTTGTCCTAGTTTTCAATTCCCTACTCTAGTGTCTTATTTTTATTAGAGGCATCCAGGCTGCAAGCCTTCTGTAGGATTATAGGATCATTTTTGAAGGCTTAGATTTTTGCCTCTACTCTGATAGAAAGGTTTTGTTTCTGATGGTCTAGGGACTGTGGAGACATCGAGTGCTAGAAAAAGACAATGCCCACCTAAGGCTGTTTTCCACTGTGTCCTTGCATATAAATATAGAAGTTAGGTCACATCAGAACCCCTTATAATGGCCAATGTTTCACACTTAGAAAATGAGGCATCCAGTCCAGAGCTGTTAGTGGGAGCACAGGGTTAATGCCAGCCCTGGGGAGCCACAGGTGGAAGGCCTGAGGAGCTTGAGTTCAAGGTCAGCTTGATCAGGTGTTGGTTTTGCTTTGTCTCCCTGTGTTTAATTAAAGAGAATAAGTTTACAAGTAAGGGAGGTGTCACTAAGATAATCTAGTCATTTTAAACATCTTCAAGTAAAAGCTTTATACCTCATAGTCATGTTTTTTCCAGTTGCTTTGAGGAATTGATTGATCACATTTAGCCCCCAAAAGTTTCAACTCTAGAGTGTCTCTCTCTCTTTCTGTCAGTCTTTCTTTCTCTCTCTCTCTCTCTCTCTCTCTCTCTCTCGTGTGTGTGTGTGTGTGTGTGTGTGTGTGTGTGTGTGTGTGTGTGTAAGAGGCAAACATAAGGAAGAAGGGAGGTGAATGGGAAGCAGGGAAAAGGAAAAGAGAGAAGGAAAGTAATTTTTCTCTAATTTCATAATTTGAGTAAATTAAGGAATCTGATGAACATTTAACTTAGAAATATAATATCATACCAAGTTTCTACTTGGTGGGCAGGTTTTTATTTGATTGTTTGAGGAAAGCAAATAAGAGTTCATTGCCAATTGAGCAGATATTTTTAGGGAAAGAGGAGTGAGCAAAAATTGGATTGTGTGTTTTTCTAGGAGCAAGTCTCACTGAACCTTTAAAGCATTGGAGAGATACTTTCCCCCTACAAGTCTGCTAGGTTTTTTGGTTTTTGTTTTGTTTTATTTTTCCTAGCTGTTGAGCTAGTGGTAGCTTGGCGCTCTTTCCCTGGCCCCAAAGTCTGAGCACTACAATGCACTGTGCTGATTTTGAATGGAGTACAGGGGACACCCCTCCTGGCTCTGTCTCTATTCAGATACAGAATAACTGGACAACAAAAGATGTTAAGAGGATTCTTGTTTTGAGTGATGGCGTTTCTTGTAGTTCTTCAGTTCTGGGAGCCTTTGTTTTGTATTTCTAATAATAGGGACACTGAATACTTGGAAACTTGCTTTACTATAGGCAGCAATGCGTAAGTATCATCTACATAGAGTCTAAAGAGAAGATTAATTGATACAGAAATGTTTTACAAAAGGGATTGAGTTGAATGTTCTCCTCCTTTTTGAGTCCTAACTCAGAAGCTTGCTACTGTGTTGCCGCAAGCAACACTGCCTTCCCTGAAGTCAGAGCTTCCTTTGTTTTCCTCCCAGTGTTCTCCTTTCTTAGGTGTTCCACAGTGCCTTCCCACAGCAGGCACAGGCAGAGGCAGCCGTTAGTTTTCTGTTCACAGGAGAGAGGAAAGCTGCACACACAATGAGGATTCACTCCACTGTCGGAACTTCCAGTGTTGTCACTTGATTCAGATTTTTAATTAATGACACTAAATATTAAGCTGGAGGGTTGGAGTGTTATCTCTGTTTTCTGTTTACTCTCTTTTCTATGTTAATGAAAAGTAAAATCACCGAGATGTAAAGGAAATGAGAAGGACCAATATTGGATATTGGATATCCAATAGATAGATGGGCCTTGAATAATTGATTTAATTTCATATATAATTGAGAAGTTTATTGATTTGCCTATCTTTGTTAGGACAGGCCCTGATCATGGACAGTCACTTGCTTGGCTTTTCACTTCTCTTGTAATTCACAGAATCATCTTGTGATTTCAAATTTAGAATCATTTTATTTGCTCCTGTGACCTTGCCTTGACACAGCCAGGAAACCCTCTGATTGCATACAAAACAACTAAGTTCAAGTAGCTCCTTCCCAAGTGAGCACTGAGATGAGCCTTGCCCACAGAATGGTGCAGCGCTTCTGGTTTTGATCAAATTATCCAGGGTTCATTTTAACTTGGAGCAAGCACATCACGTTGACAGGTTGCTTGAATTGGCTGTACAGGAAACATCTGGATGTGAGAAATATTTCCTGCAGTTGTTAAAGGACACTGGCCCTTTGTGAAGGGAGAGATTGTCGTGTATTACTTACGCCTCCGTTCATCTGCTGTAATGCTCTAGGAAATTATAAGTCATGCTCTAATAGAATTTGAAATGTATAGATAATCCTCAAACTATTTAAATTTCTGCTGCTTCTGCTTTTCTCCAAATATTTTAACTAGAAGAGTTTCCAAAAAGCAAACAGCCAATTGTGTTGAATTTGCATTCCTGTTTCTGTGAACTCTCTGTTAACCATTCTAATCTGAAAAAGCACAAGTAAAGTGTCCCTGCCTGGAGTCCAAAGACTAGGAGGGGATTCCCCAAAGAGCAGGAGATGGAAATCTGAAGGCTGAAAGGCTCACATGCATGCACCTCTGCAAAGAGTGATCGCCATTTCTGGGTTTAAGAGCATGACTGTACTCGTTGAATCTGTCTTCTCTTTCTCTTCTCTTCTCTTCTCTTCTCTTCTCTTCTCTTCTCTTCTCTTCTCTTCTCTTCTTCTCCTCTCTTCATCAATTTGAAAGGTAACCATGGAAGATCCAGTAAAACCCTCAGTAAACACTATGCCATGAAACTCTGCCTGTATGGTACATTTTTGAAGTAGAATTTAATAGCTTTATAATCTGTAACTGTCAGTGTTCAGCCAGTAGTGGCTAGGTTCTACCCTGTTATTTATTTTTTTGCAGGGTGTTTGTATTTTTGGCTTTCTTTCTAACTAAAAAAACATTACACAGATTAGAGTGCTTTGTGCTCAGGCTGGAAACTACTGTATTAACTGCAACTGCATCTCTTTGGTTCAGAAAATCAGTGTGATCACACTGAAGTTAAAAGGAGTCAATTTACAAGTACTTTTGACATTATATGATTATTTTACTTCCTTTAGGATCCTTTGATAATGGAGTATTTATTACATTGTAAAGCCTTTTATCACAAATGACATTTCAATTTCTCTTTAGGCAACAGATTATACCATAATTAATCATTACTTCAAAAATCTCTCTCTTAAGATACAACTCAATTCTTTTCTTTTATCGTTTGTTTTTGTTACTAGAAATTAATATCATTATAATACTGTGACACTTTGTCTTGTAGAATCTTTTAATGTATTGTATACAATTTAAAGCAGCTACCCAAAGGAATATTTGGGTTCTTTCTGCTACTGTTAACATGTAACAATTGGAAGCCAAGGTATAATGAAAACTGTGGCTGCATAAGTATTAAAAACGGTTTACAAAAGTAATTTTTTGTGTGTGTGGAAAACATAGGACTCACATTGATTTTGACTTGAGCTGTTTGTTGTTCCTGGTTGGAAACAGCGTGTCCTGGGTGAGCAAGAGCCAGCATTATTTAAGACTAGCCTTTTAATGCTGTGAATATAACAATACAAAGAGACATAACCCTGTGTCTGTGATCTGGGAGCTTAATGTGGAGGTTCAGCAGACTCTCCTTGGTACTGAGAAGTGTGTGGTCCAGCCAGCACACTCAAACCTCTGTGTTTTTCTATCCTGCTGTCTTGGGGTTGGGAGGAAACCTTCTTTAATTGTTTCTGTCAACATTTTAGAACACTGTGGCTGAATTACAAGGAATGTCTGGCAACTGCAATAACAATAACAACCGTTTCCTTAAGGTTTGTTTTTTGGCAGAGAACTCTGCTTATCTGTGCCCTCTTGCTCAGTGTGTGAAATTAAATATTCTACATGTCCTATTCACTTCCTATTCCCTGAAAAGCACTTCTGGAGCTGTGTGTTTTGTGTATTAAATAATAGTCTGAAAATAATGGTTTTAAAAATGTAACTTTCACTATATATATGGGTCCAAAAGGTCATCTCACTTCCTAGTATTTAACCATGGGCATATTTAACCTCTAACCTTTTAAATGTTTTATGATTCAAATTAAAGGGGAAAAACGCCACAAAGAAACTCAGTAATAGGGCTGTATAATATTTCTATAATTCAGTGTACATAGCAATTTATTTTCTGCTGAAATACAATTGCTTTTTAAGAAAAGAAACTTCTAATGCTAAGTTCTTAATTTTCCATTATGTGTTTGGACGAACATACAGGGTAGACAGGCCAAAACAGGCTTTGAATTTTAACTAGCTCTAACAACAGTGGAGCTTCCAATAGAAATCATGTGTGGTTCAGAGGTCAGTGAGGTGATGATGAGGAGAGAAGCCTGACATCTCAAAGTGCTCCAAAGGCTACAATTTTGTTGGATCTTTATTTTTTTTTTTTAAATTAAATAAATTTTTATAAGAACAAATGTCAGACTTTTAAAAACAATTAAGTCTTTCATTGCAGACATGATTACAAACCTTTTGAAAAAGAAATCATCTATATCATTTTTGCTCACCTTAGAGCTTTTCCATAACTGTCTCCTTAACTTACATGCCACACATCTCAATGTTTAGTCTGATGTCATTTACAACTAAGTAGAAAAACTTTGGCATATGTCTGTTCAAACTATACATAAAATGATATCATATTCTTAAACAGAATCTAATTTTGTGATTATTCTCTATCTTCATTGCACATTCCAATTTGTTGTATCACTATCTTAGTGTACACATTCTTGTTTAACCATGCATTTTCTTTTCTAATTGCATCTTATGTCCTGAAATTACCGTTAACAAGTGACAAAATAGGATATAACACAGTGGATAATAGGATACAGGGAGAATTAGAACTTCTTTCTCTGAAAAAAACAACAATGAAAATAGTTGTCAGTAATCATTTTTTAATATTATAAGCTACCCCACATGTATCTATTATTCTATGATTACGTCATTTGGTACCAATTTAAATATGTCTATATAGATACATATATAAATACATGATTATATGCATGTGTATTTTGTATATGTACACATACATAAATATATGTAATTTTAAAAACACATAAACTAATATTATGTCTTGTGCTTTTTGTATCCTTGGTGTTATTTTTTATCATGTTGTTTCAACCATACTGTGTCTTTATTATGTTTGCATTCAGTTCTAGAATTTCTTCCCCAACTTGTATTACTTTAAACTTAATGCTTGCACATCACTTGAAACAAATTCCCCAGCCCTATGAAAGATGACAATAAGAGAAACAGATCTACAAAGACATATCAGAACTCTTTCATTTTCAATGTTTTGCTATAAACTCACCCAAATCTTAAAATTAATTCATTTTCACAAAATAAAATGAATAATATGTTATCAAAGTATATCTCATTATTGAAAAATAAAATGTTACTGGAATCATTAATAAATGAAACAACTTGCTGAAAATATTAAGGAATAGCAACTTGAAGAGCAATAAATATATTAATTATTTTTAAATTTAGTAAGAATTCTTATATACCATGAAGGTTGTTCAAATGGATTAAAACTTTTTTTTTTTTCATGCTAAGAGAATTTATTTTGTGATATTTTATTTCCTTTTTTTTTTATTTTATTTTTCTTTTTAGTTACATTTTGTTAACTCTGTGTCCCAGCTGTATCCCGCTCCCTCATTCCCTCCCCAACCCCACACTCCCTCCCTGGTCTCCTCCCTGCCCCTTTCCAAGTCCCCTGATAGGGGAGGACCTCCTCCCCTTTCATCTGACCCTGTTTTATCAGGTATCTTCAGGGCTGGCTGCAAAGTCCTCCTCTGTGGCCTAACAGACTGCTCCTCCCCTGGGGTGGGGGTCAAACAGCCTGCCCTTGAGATCCTATTAGAAATAGTCCGTGTTCCCCTTACTTTGGAAAACTACTTGGTTACTGAGCTACCACAGGCCACATCCGAGCAGAAGTTCTAGGTTATATCCATAGATGGTCCTTGGTTGAGTGTCAGTCTCAGAAAAGACCCTGTGCCCAGATATATTTGGTCCTTGTGGAGCTCCTATCCTTTCCATATCATACTAACTTCCCTTCTTTCATATGATTCCCTGCACTCTGCCGAGGGTTTGGTTATGAGTCTTAGTGTCTGCTTTGAAACACTGCTAGGTAGAGTCTTTCAGATGCCTTTTGTGATAGACTCCTGTCATAAGTTCAATGCACATCCCATTTGTCTTTCTAAATGAGGATTAATCACCTTCGCCTGTGTCCACTTTCTTGATTATCTTCTTTAGGTGTGTAGATTTCATTATGTTTATCATGTCTTGTAGGTCTATATAAGCGAGTATATACCAAGTTTGTCTTTCTCCTTCTGGGATACTTCACTCAGAATGATCTTTTCTAGATCCCACCACTTGCCTGCAAATTTCATGATTTCTTCCTTTTTGATTGCTGAGTAGTATTCCATTGTGTAAAAATACCACAGTTTCTGTATCCATTCCTCCGTTGATGGACATCTGGGTTGTTTCCAAGTTCTGGCTATTACAAATAAAGCTGCTATGAACATGGTTGAACAAATGTCCTTGTTGTGTACTTGAGCAAATTTTGGGTATATACCTAGGAGTGGTATAGCTGGGTCTTGAGGTAGCACTACTCCTAGTTGTCTGAGAAAGCGCCAGATTGACTTCCAGAGTGGTTGAACCAGTTTACATTCCCACCAGCAATGGAGGAGGGTTCCCTTTTCTCCACAACCTCTCCAGCATGTGCTATCACTTGAGTTTTTCATCTTGGCCATTCTGATGGGTGTAAGGTGATATCTCAGGGTCGTTTTGATTTGCATTTCCCTAATGGCTAATGAGGTTGAGCATTTCTTTAAGTGTTTCTCTGCCATTCGACGTTCCTCTTTCGAGAATTCTCTGTTTAGCTCTGTTCCCCATTTTTTAAGTAGATTACTTGGTTTGTTGCTTTTCTGCTTCTTTAGTTCTTTATATATACTTGATAGCCCTCTGTCAGATAAAGGGTTGGTGAAGATTCTTTCCCAATCTGTAGGCTGTCTATTTGTTTTGATGACAGTGTCTTTTGCTTTACAGAAGCTTTTCAGTTTCATGAGGTCCCATTTATTGATTGTTGCTCTTAGAGCCTGTGCTGTTGGTGTTCTGTTCAGGAAGTTGTCTCCTGTGCCAATGAATTCTAGGCTGTTTCCCACTTTTTTTTCCAGCTGATTTAGAGTATCTGGTTTTATGTTGAGGTCCTTGATCCACTTGGACTTTAGTTTTGTGCAGGGTGATAGATATGGATCTATTTTCATTTTTCTGCATGTAGACATCCAGTTGGTCCAGCACCATTTGTTGAAGATGCTGTCTTTTTTCCATTGAATGGATTTGGCTTCTTTGTCAAATATTGAGAATTCGTAGGTGTGTGGGTTTATTTCTGGGTCTTCTATGCGATTCCATTGATCCTCCTTTCTGTTTCTATGCCAATACCATGCAGTTTTTATTACTGTTGCCCTGTAGTACAGCTTGAGATCGGGAATGGAGATACCTCCAGATGATCTGTTGTTGTACAGGATCGTTTTGGAGATTCTGGGTTTTTTGTTTCTCCATATGAAGCTGAGAATCTTTTTTTCAAGGTCTGTAAAGAATTGAGTTGGTATTTTGATGGGAATTGCATTGAATCTGTAGATTGCTTTTGGCAGGATGGCCATTTTCACAATGTTAATCCTACCAATCCATGAGCACGGGAGATCTTTCCATCTTCTGAGATCTTCTTCAATTTCTTTCTTCAAAGACTTGAAGTTTTTCTCAAATACGTCTTTCACTTGCTTGGTTAGAGTCACACCAAGGTACTTTATGTTGTTAGTGGCTATTGTGAAGGGTGTTGTTTCCCTAATTTCTTTCTCAGCCTTTTTGTCTTTGGTATACAAGAGGGCCTCTGATTTTTTTGAGTTGATTTTGTATCCTGCCACTTTGCTGAAGGTGTTTATCAGCTGAAGAAGTTCTCTGGTTGAATCTTTGGGGTCGCTCATGTATACTATCATATCATCTGCAAATAGTGACACTTTGACCTCTTCCTTTCCGATTTGTTGGATCTTTAAAACTCTTAAACTTCTTTGTTTTGTTTGTAAACCTCAAATTTTTCCTGATCTCCTTCCTTGAAACACAGAATCATGAGATTCTTCTCAACATGCCGTCCCTGCACACTGTCCTGTACCTCACTGTGAATTTCAGGAATATTCTCTGTGCACAACGCCCCCGATCACAGGTGGCGAAAAGGCCACAGATTAGTTGGGACAGGAGCCTTTGCCTCAGCGTGGCCATCTTTTTGTACCTCATTGTCTTTGTGTGGTTTGTAAAAATATAATGGAAGTGTTTTAATTATGACTTTCTTACTGACTGCCACAGTATAGTATTAGTCATTTCGGGGCTGGATCCAAAAACAACAAAAAAGGGCCTGCTTTCTAGGCCCTTACGTTTCCCTGAAAGGATAGACTCTGTCTGTAGAGCAGCCTGTGGAGTGATTCTGTTCCACCCTGAGAACCACAAAGCTTGAAGTGCCAAAAGAGGTGGCTAGAGGACAAGTGTAAATGACAGTTTCCAACTTTGAAAATATTTTATTTTATAAATTGAACATAATTTTTACCAACAGGCCTCTAAAGTGCTCAATCACAGAGAGAAATAGACCTCCTACCCTGGGAAGACACCTTGCCTTCTGGTGGACATTCTGAGCACTGTGGTTGACTCGTCCTGTCTTGTCTACCTTGCCCAGCATTCACTGTGTGGAGTCTTGTTGTGCTTGCATGTCTCCTTCATTTTGTTTGCCTTCCAG